GTGTGTGTGTGTATGTGTGTGTGTGTGACGTAGTTGTGGGTAGTGGAAAAGGGAGGAATGAAGACTGATGTATAAGGGTCAGCAAAACTCAGTCACAGTTTGTTGAAGGAAATTTTGGCTACAAATACAGTGGGCTTTCAATAAAAGTAATGCTGTAGGAAATAAGGAGACATAAGTTTTGGAAATGTACTCACCTCTTGATAAATGGATAGTTGAAAAGAGCAGAAATTAAACATGTAATACCACGTGTGGTTGAAAGTGATTTTTTTCCATTTGTCTCAGGTGTAGTAATGGAAGAAAGAAGTAAGAGAGCCATTTTTTCTCTAATTCTACTGTGACTATTCACAATTAACTGAAAAATACTAAAGGAGAACAAAATTGAGGCTAGAGAAAAGCATGGATGAGGAACAAGTGCCATGTACAAATTTGAAAAATTTGACCCGATTACTTAAACTCTTCCTGAAATATATGAAACGTTCAAATGATTTTTTCCCTTATACAGTTGAAGGGAAACAGTTTAAGCCTTTGTCTTCGTGGTAACAGGACATCACAGCAAGAAATGAAAGAAGTACCTAATGTCCCCAGTGCTAGTTGACACTAAAGAATTTCTAAATGCAGCCTCAAAGGGTTTTTTGTTTGTTTGTTTGTTTGTTTGTTTGTTTTGGTACTGCTTGTTAACTTAAAGGATATGTAAAATCATTCTAGCTGTTAAATGATCCATCACAAAGAAATAGATCTATAACCAAGACTTGTTTGAACACAGGACTATGCCATTGATGGTCAGCTCTGTCATTTAGACACAGGGGCACAATCCTCTAGAGCCAGACTTTTACATTTTGAGATAAAAGTATGAAGGAAAGAGTAAAGAGCCATTACCTAACCAATAATCCAATCTTCTCTTTTTCTTCCATTCTCATTTCTACCTGCATAGTACAATATATGGAGGTGATAGAGCCACACTTTAAATACCACTGCTGTTTGAGAAGATTTTAACTTGGTGATGTCCATCTTGCTGCAAGAGACTCACTGAGTAACATCAATTGATTTACTGAAAACAGCTTTGACCTAGTGCCAGGACATTATGGAATACCCTTGTGATAAATTCCTCAAGCTGGGTAGCGGGTACAACACAATCTAACTTTAGCCGTACTGAACAATTCTCTCCTTGATCTGCACAAGGAAAATGAATGAAAACATCATAATTTGACAAGGACAAAGGATGCATAGACAGTATAATGGCTCTCTCAGAGATTCTGACCTGACTAGCCCTGAAATGGATATTTTTATGACTTGACCCATATAAGGAAACCCAGGGGATAAGTTTAACATAAGGGCCACAACCCAAAAAGCAAAGATATTTCATATACACCCCCCTCTAGGTAACTAATGAAGCTAGAGATGTGTTTGTTTCTGGAATAAGAAAGGAATGAATGCTGATAATTTGGCTAGTCTGTTTTTTTATGGAGTAAAAAGTCTAACCATTTTATAGCTTTTTTTTTTCCTACACAGAAGTATTTAATTCTCAGTGCTAAGTTATAAGCCCACTACACACTAGATATTGGCTTGTGGAGATATTAAATCTTTGTATATTAAAGTGATAGATTTTTTCAAATATGACTTAATTATTCATTGAGATACCAGGAGTCATGGTCAAAAAATAAATGAGAAAAAATCTATTATCTACTAGCACTCTCAAACTTGATCTTCAGCCACAAATGGAATTTGATCCTTTAAAAGTCTTTCAATAGTGATTGAGTTTTGTTGGTGATTTAATTCAAAGGACACATCTGTGATTAGAATCCACTCACTTCAATAGAAAATACCATTTAACCCCCCCCCCCCCCCCCGTAACGTTCACTGGAAACACACAAAAAGATTTATAGGTTCTATGGTTCCTTTTATAAACTTTGTGATAAAGCTATAATCTACTTTTGTAAACAGGATTTCTTTTCTGACTGATTAATAAAAAGCATAAGTGAATTTTATGATTAAATACATAAAATTTTCATGAGAAATATATATGGTTGCTACTGGATTCCATTTGTCTTCTTTTTATTTTTAAACAAATACAATCTTTGTAGTTTAGAAGCCCAAAAGGGTGCCACATTTAATATAACCAGGAAAGATCTTTTCATTTTTTTTATTTGCTATAGTTTGGTATCTTTTGAATTGATCACCGTAAATAGAATTGTCTTAGGTAATAATAACTTTAAATGGTATTTGTATCTGAAAAAAAGGCCAGAACAGAATTCTATATGCAAAATATGTTAGTAAGGTTGAGTTTTTCCTAGATCATCAAAGCAATACATCCTAATTATAAAACACTGAGGAAAGAAACATATTTAAGCAGACAATTTATCCATGGATTATATTTTCCTATCTCTTGTTCTTCTCAACTTGGTTTGGTATTCTTATGGTACTTTTGTAATCTAAAGAGATATATTTAAATGTCTTAATTGTAGGGAAAACCATAATAGGAAGCAGCCCTGTCAAAAGAAAACACATTAAGGCAAGGGGGCATCATATGGAGATCTGCCACCTAATTCTTCCTTCCTAATTTTAGTAATATGGCTAAATAATATAAGGGACTCATCTAAGATCATTAACTAATACTATGCTTTGTTTTTCAGTATACACTGTCTATTTTGGGACATGCATTTATTCGTCAAATCTCATTGAAATACGGTAAATTCAAGAAATGGCTTGGGTGCTATTTAAAAATAAATAAATAAAAGAAGGATATGGCATGGTTCCTGTCCTAAAATATTCCCAGTCTGCTTAATGACACAATATTAATACACATTGAATGGTAGGAAGCAAGATTTAGCTGGCAGTTTTTGCTACTACTGCAGCAGAAAGGCCAAGAAGTGAGCACTGAGATTAAGCTATAGGTGTCCAAGTAGATGCTATAGAAAGGTTTTTGCCATGGATGTAAATTTTAAATTTAGGAAAGAATGGAACTGCTAAGGTAGTTCAATATAAAGAGATGTGAAAGATTAACTCAGACTCTCAGAGGAACTGTAGAACTAGAGATAAGAAAGGAAAGGGGCCCATTTTATGGAATGGCATGAGAGTGGTCAGAGTGGAGGGAGGGGCCTAAAACAATGCAGGGAATGGCTGCAGGGGGTGGCTGAAATACCCAGCCTAAAAAGACCAAGGCATAAGCAAGAAAATAAAAGACATGAAAAGGCAAATATTCATTCATTCAGCAATTAATCTGTGGAGTCTAGACTATTTTCCTAGCACTGTATTAGGAAATGGGGAAGCAATGGAGAATAAGATAGATAATGTCTTGGCCTTCATGGAACTTTGATTCTTGGTGGGAGAAACAAAGAGCCAAATAAGCAAACAATAAAACATCAAATAATAATAGGTACTATACAAAGAATTAAGATAGGGTGACGCTATAGTGAGGAACTAGGTAGATACTCTGGTCTGGTAGTAAGGGAAGACTTCTCTAAGGAGGTGACATTTAATCTGAGACCTTTGCTTTCAAGGAACAGTCAACGTGAAGAGCAGGAAAGATGCTCAAAGAGAGATCAGCAAAGGCAGAAAGTAAACCAAAGGCCCATCTGTCTGGAGCTTAGTGGGCAAGGGGGAGAGTGAAACGACATGAAAGACAGAGTCAGGGTCCAGGATATAATCATGTAAAAGGAAAAGATAAATGAAGGTGATACCTTTTCAATTATATAAATGTTTTCAGGCTCTTTTAATATGGAAAACTAGTGTTTGTTTTTCTTTCCCTCTGTTAAATTGGAAAGAGGAAACCAAAATCTGTCTTCTCATCTACTTGGAGCTTTGGAGGAATAAGCCCTATTTGAACACACAGAAAGGGGGTATGAATTAAGCTTTGACTTAAGTGAACCATCAATGTCTATGGTAAAATAAATAGAATGAAGGTTTGAGGGAAGAGGCAGAGTAGCTTAGAAAGCAAGAATTCCAATGGTCTTGAGGCCCACAGAGCTTATTGTGTCCTGACTTCTCACCATTCTCTCAGAGGAGAAAGAGATTGACCTCTAAGTGATGGGCTTGAGGTGAGGCACAAAGTCTGGAAAACCAGAGATGTGGGCCTATTTCTTGGAAAGAAACCAGGACTCCAGAGAGGAAGGCTATCTGATGACTGTAATGGCAGACAAGGGGTTTTCCCAAGTAAGATGGTAAGATGGAATGAACTCTATTTAAGAGAACATAGAAATGCAGTATATTTCTTTGAAAACCTTACTTTCTGTGCTTACATTCATTTCAGTAAAAATACATAGGCAAATTCAAGTTTATGTGATTCTGTTGGATGTTTAAATTGGCATTTCCCAAAATTCTGTGGACTATAATAAGACATTATGAAAAAAGAGTACCCATGTTCAAATACATCCAGGAAACAATGGGTTAAACACTCTTTAATGTTTGTTTCTTGATTGGTTTGTTTACCTGCAGGACTTCTCAGAACTTTTAGGTATGCCTATGTTCATTATGAACATGCAAGTAGAAGATACAGAATTTAGCATTTTCTGAACTTATTTGATCAAACAACCCTTTTCTTTTTCCTTCAGAATATTTCATAGAACTAATCTTCAAAAAATGCATTGGAATGTAAGTGTGGGACTAGACTGTATTAACAACTAAAATGGGAAAAGGGATATGGACAGTGAAGACAAGTTAAACACAATGTAAGTTAACTCATAGATTCAGGTAACCACTGCGTAAGAACACTTAAAGAATATTAAAACTTCTTTTGCTCAATATGATAGTCCTGATTATAAATTAGGCATAAATCTTATGAAGAGAAGCAAAGTTATACAATCACAATTATTTCATAAATATTATATGCTATACTCAGCTATTGGTATTTTTGTTGCACAACTCAGTTAAACAAAACCATCTTCTACTCTAATCTCTTTAAAAGAGATAAGAGTTGACATTTTACATCATGTTCTCTATTTACCAACGATTTTTATAGATTTAAAAGTGTATGAAATAATATAAAGGATAAGAGAGCCATATGGTAAAGATTAATTTAAATAATTTTATTGCATCTGTTAAATTCAGATAAATAAAACCTTTATCTTAGTGAGTAAAATTAGCTATTGAGTCTCTGATGTGTAGATCAAGATCTACAAATGGACCTGCAAACTTCTTTCAGTAGATCCTGGAGTCACATACCACTGGCACTGGCCCTTCTCAGCCACTTCACCCCTTCTTGCTTTGCTGGGATTCCCTGTGGGGAAAAGAAGGTGCAGCCAGCAGGGTTACATTCTTGCTGAGTCCGTGTGTCTACATACTGTAAGTACCCTCCCCTTCACCACCCACAATATAATCTCAAACTGTCCTCAGAAACACGGAGGCCCTCCCCACATTGTAGTCTACCCACAGAGCCTTTCATTGGCTTAATGTGGAATCTTGCTTCCAAATACTCTATTAATAATAAATTGAAAGGTTAACTTTATAATCTCAGAATATGAAATACAAAGACTTTATAAAAATATTTTTACAGTTTAGTTTCCTTGGTAATTTTGCTGAAAATGAAATTTGCTCTTGGTCGAATATTCATTTGGTCCAATCCAATTAGAGTAACTTTTGTTATCCAGATCACCAGAAAGTGCCATTAACCCAAAGTCATGTTGGAGTACTGTATAATGGTCACTGTTATAAAGATAACTTCCCTACACCATGACTCTCCTAAGAGCTTTTTTGTTAAAATACATAATTGTACTATAGTACACTTTAAAGGAATAATTCTAGTAATCCATGTACTGTGTATATTAACCTACTCCAAATATTCAATCCTTATTATTTTACAATTCAAGATAAAATTTGGAGGCAACAGTACTCTTTTACTTCAATTTAGAATCATTGTATATCTGAGTTGCATGGAAAAATCAAATAGTTATGTGTTTCACACCTTGAACAGGTAAGATGTAACTATCCCCAAAGAAGTTTCAAGTCTAAAGCATAAAGCAAAGTCCTGATAAAATCCTGTTTGTAGAAACTGAACCACTGAAATGTCTCAAGGAGATAGGTAGAATCATACACAAGAAGAGACAGGTGTGGAAAAAAAGATATCTATTCTTGGAGTACTGGCATGGAGTGCTCACCTATCTCTGTAGGTTCCAGAAAAATGGAGATGTCAAAGACATGGGAGGGTGACATAAACCATTTTTTAATCTAACAGCTTTTAAGTGGCCTCCCAAGTGTACTGGATGGTTGAATGGGATAAAAAATGCTAGTAATAACAGTGATTTGTATTGAGAATTGAAAACATGAGTCTAACCTGTCTTCCCATTTTGAGAATTCTGTTAAAATGCTTTGCAAAATTTTAAGAGTAGAACATAAAGGTAATTTATTTACTGCCATTTTCCCATGCAAATTACTTGAATCTATTAACATATGAACTTTCAAAATATTAGTTCAGTTCTATAACTATTCTAGACAAAGCAGAGGAAAGGCCCTGCCTATTGCCATTTGTATTTCCTAAGTCCAATTTGATAGCAAAAGGCCGTAGAATTTAAAAATAAGTGAGGCCATTGAAAGAGCTCTCTCGACAACATTCATCGAGCTCTTTCTATGAGCTAGCCTCTGCTGCATGACCTTTATGTGAGTCAACTCTTTTCTTTTTTGTAAAGTTTTTTTTAAGTAATATCTACACCCAACATGGGGCTCAAACCCACAACCCTGAGACAGAGTCGCACGTTCTACCTACTGAGCCCTCCAGGCGCCCCATAACTCCTAATTTGTTAAACAAGCCTTTGATGTCAGTACTATTATTATCCTCATTTTAAAGATCAGAACATATTGATAATATATGGTAGAGCTGAAATATTTCAAGAATAAGAATATTAACAGAATTATATGCTCTTTTATTCAATAGAATTTAGAAAGTAACTACTGATAATGGTATGGTGAATAGTAGAGATTTATCATTGATAGCCTCTTGTCCAAAATGAGTGTATAACTGGTGTTAGGTGTGGAGTGAGGGTGGGACGTGGTATTGTGGGGCTTAAACCCAAATAGACATAAGATTTTAGAAAAGCAGACTATAGATAAATCAGCCGTCATAGCACCTGAGGATGTTACCTTTTTGTTGAGTCAACTTTGTTTTTCTCTTTGCTCCTATTCTCTGTTCCTTTCCACTGCTTCCTCCTCCAATATTATTACTATTGTTTTTTTTTGTTTTGTTTTTATTCCCCAGGTATTTAAAACATTATTGAAAGTTTTAAAGTTCTCTGAAGCATCTCTTGAAATCCCCTGGGAGGAAAGCAATGCAAATTTCAAATGAAGAAAAGGAAGAAAATTGTAAAGTTTCACAGTTTATGAGCACTTCCCTGTGACCAATGCAGTTCTATATTCTTTAGCTCTGTATGCATTCTTCCACTGTGATTTATAGATATCTCTTTTATACACTACAATGGTTCAAACTACTTTACATTGAAATCCATTCCAATTTAAGTTAGATATTTTTCTAAAGTGGCAAAGGAATAAAGGCTTATGAAAAAATGCTCAACCACGAAGAAAAAATGCTTATACTATGTATAGAAAACCATGGAACTTTTTTTTTTAATTTTTTTTTCAACGTTTATTTATTTTTGGGACAGAGAGAGACAGAGCATGAACGGGGGAGGGGCAGAGAGAGAGGGAGACACAGAATCGGAAACAGGCTCCAGGCTCTGAGCCATCAGCCCAGAGCCCGACGCGGGGCTCGAACTCACGGACCGCAAGATCGTGACCTGGCTGAAGTCGGACGCTTAACCGACTGCGCCACCCAGGCGCCCCCCATGGAACTTTTTAATGTAAATTCTAGGAAGGAACAAATCAGTGAGTTTGCTTTGATCTGTAAAAAGATCTACGAACAAATCAACAATTTGTAAACATCTATAAAAAAAAATGGAGGTGATAACCAATAAAGCCTGTGAGAAGTCTACCTTATCAGAACCTTCTAATTTCATTTTATGAAAAAAAAAAAAAAACATGATGGGGCTGATAGACATCAGGAAAACATAAATGTAATCTGCCCAAGAGTCCACAGATATTTGTATCTGACATAAGGATCAACCATCCCAAGCTCTATATGTGAATCTGTCAAATTCCCTGGGGATGCTCCTTTGTCAAATAGTAAAAACAAGGGATTGGAGGAAGAAATGCACACAGGAGTTCAACTTTCCTAAAGATTTAAATCAGTAAAGGACCACTGATATATAAGACTTTAAACAGAATTCTTGCTATTATTACTATGATTATTATTTTAAGTATTTGGGATATTTTAAGCATAATCCACCTTGATGGCTGTTGGAAGAACAGCCGTTAATGACCTGGCTGGGGCCTCACAGTCAAATTTCTATCATTAAGAGGCGGTGTTTGTGTAACCCTGCTTTCTGTCTTTAATTTAGCAGATCTGAGTCTGATTATAGGGTGTGATTATTACCTTTTTCATATTGTCAATGTTTCAAATGTAGAAGATGGTTCATATCCTACAGAAATGGACACAGCTACAAATATGAGTGGTCTGCATTTAAGAGTTAAATCTGGACATCACCCCTAAACATACAGTGTCTGACCTTCAAGCTTCTCTGGCCTTGGAGAGGCTAGTTGAGCTGTTGACTTCATAGGGAAACTCAGCAGGACAAGGGCCTGTTGATAGCTTTTATCATTCAGTTGAGAACTTGGAAGCATGTTTATTATTTATAGGGCTGTTTCAAAATGCAGTTATACTTATTTTTTATTAATTGACTTTAGCAAATTAATGCATATGTTTATACGCACAATGGAGATAAGACATCTCAATTAAAAGAGTACATCCATTAAGCACTGGTTTTTAGAAAAAATGATGAAACTTTGGCTAAAAAGTATTTACTACACTGCACTAAGCCCTTTATGTAGATGATCTCTTTTCATCCCGGTGTCAACCCTATGAGTAGTTTCATTCATACATATTTAGGTGAAAAAACAGATACCAGGGTTTATGTGAGGTCTGTAAGTTCACAGAGCTAGAACAAAATCTTAAGCAACGGCCTCTAGGGCCTTCACCTTTAACTACAACTACTACTGTAATGTAGCTTAAGGAGGCTGGTATTCCAAACATTAAATATTTCTTACCTCAGATATCTAAGTATTTATAGTTTATTACTCATAACTTATCGGTATTTTTGAAATATTAACACATATTGCCATATGGGTCATACATATTTTGCTATTGCCAGCCTTACATTTCATCTTCCATTTCCCAATATTATTGTAGAACCCACTTATATGGATGTGATCCCATCATTGAAAGTCATTGACTTTTAAAAAATTGATATTCTTATCAAGAGTACTAACTATTACTGATGCCAACTAGTAGTCTTATCATGAAAGAGAATAAGGTATAAGTGTAATTTGTCTATTTGAAAAAGCCTCATCAACATTTACATTGAGTAGTATTTTAATGAAATATCTGCTAAAAGTGGGAGTTGTGTGTATGTGTGTGTACTCTCTTTAGTTCCAGGAAAAATAAAAACTATTACAGATGGAACTGTGCAGTATTTTTGCCTCCAAATTTTTCCATTTGGTCAAATTTCAGAGCATTTGTTTTGTGGAAGTCTATTTCAAAATGTATTTGATATTTCTTTAAGGTAAGTATCTTCATCCAAGAAAACACAAACAACAAGCACAAGAGCCTAGGGTCTACCTTAGAACCTAGGACATATGGCCTTTACTTTCCATTCACTTTCAATGTGATCTTTTAGGAGAAACTTGTTTATGGATGCCCTTTGTGTTTCTTGCTGGTGAAGTTCTGCCTGCTCTATTTCAGTGATCACAGGATGAAGCAAAGATGAGAATGACCAAGAGAAAGTATGAGGAGCATACATTAGTAGCAGCTCAAAGTTTAGGAGCTAAAAAAAAAAATTCTGAGGACCTAACGCTTCTGTAATGTTCTGTGCCAGCCTATATTTAACTTGTGTTGAAAAGCCCATGTTCTCTGAGTTAAAATTAATCTGTCTCCATGGTGAGTTCCAATAGAACTGTGGCTGGTTAGCTCAGCGAGTTAGAGTATGGCAATGATAAAATCAGAGAAGGTCAGAAAACTGCCTTTTGTTTCTTGGCCCGAGGTGACTCCCTAACTCCAGTCTCATATATGGGTACTCCATAGACCTCACTGGAACTGGGCAGATAAGATAATGTGGATGGGTCAGCACAAGTCAGTCATCTTCCCTGGAGAAATAACTTAGATCTTCAACATACTAA